TGCCCTCCCTGAGCTCCCCTCGCCTTTGGCTGTGTCTTCCTAGTACAGATCTGCAGCCCATACTCAGCTCCTGGCTCACTGAGCCCCTCATCACCACCTTGGTATTTCCACGGAGATGTCTAACAGGCGTCCCTGCACGGGGCTAGGTGTGAACGGAGCACCTCATGCTCTTCCTCAAATGCACACCCTACAGGCGTCCCCGCACGGGGCTAGGTGTGAACGGAGCACCTCATGCTCTTCCTCAAATGCACACCCTACCCTCCTCCATCTCGTGAGACAGCATCACCACCCTCCAGTTGCTCAAACTCTGAACCTTAGGTCCACCTGCGACTCCTCCCATTCCCTCATTATCATGTCTGATCTGTCAGGAGGTTCTGTCATTTGTATCCCCCAAATATGATCTGACTCCACCCTCCTCTCCATCAACACTGACCCTCCCTCCTTGACCTGCTCCAAGAGCCTTCCTTTGTATTCATTCCCTGTGCTCCACTCCCCGGGGACAGGACATGTGCTTCCTGGGGTGAAGCCCCTCCATGCCTCAGGCTGCTCTTGGAATAACCCCCGACTCCTCACCATGGTCTGAGCCCCTGGATTACCTGCCTCACCCCACACCTCCTCCAGATTATTTTAGTTTATTCATTTAGTTTATTCACAGGCCTGGAGGGGAAGATGGTTACAAATCAGAGTGCTGCTAACGGCTCGCATCTTTTTAAAATGGTTTTGTGAGGATGTATCCGGGAGTCCTTCCACCCTCGCTGCCTTCTGCTCGTCCCCAGTTCTGTCCTGGCTGGTCCCTGTCCTGCCCCTCACGTGCCATCTCGGATGGGCTCCCTCTGATGCTCTGCCCCGGGGAGAGCAGGGCTGTGGTTTGAGGCCCACAGCACAGGTGAAGGGAGGACAGGAAGCCACCCACATTGGCCCAAAGAAGGACCTGGAATTCAAACCACGGTGCCCTTTAGATCCTGACCTAACCTCCACTGTCACCAGCAACTCAAGGCCTTTTTCCGAGCCTCCGGGAACTGCGTGTTACAGATGTCAAGAGCTGGTCATCACGTCAGCTGGGGCCTGGGAATGTCAGCCGCACCCACGTGAGGAGATGCGGGCAGCAGCGCAAGGAGCTGGGTGAAAACTGGGCTGGTGCTGCTAGCCAGCCTGCCGGGGCCGCCGCCTTCTTTTTCTTTTTTAATTGATTTTTTACAGAGAGGAAGGGAGAAGGATAGAGAGTTAGATACATCGATGAGACAGAAACATTGAACAGCTGCCTCTTGCACACCCCCTACTGGGGATGTGCCCGCAACCAAGGTACATGCCCTTGACCGGAATTGAACCCGGGACCCTTCAGTCTGCTGTCCGATGCTCTATCCACTGAGCCAAACCGGTTAGGGCACAGGGGCCTTCTTTCCTCTGGGTTCCCTGGGCTGCCTGCCTGCAGTCCTGCGCCAGCCACTGCGAGGTCCTCCATTTATTCACAAGCCTGAAGGGGAAAATGGCTACAAGTCAGAGTGCTGCTAATGGCTTGCATCTTTGAAAATGATTTTGTGAGGATGTATGGGGAGAAAGTGGGCCGTGGCTCAAAGCTTTGGACAGGGGAGGCTGCCCGCTGCTCTGTGGGAAGCCACTGAGAGGATACACAGGTGGATCGACACTGACAAGACATTTTTCCTCTTGCTCCTTGGTTTTCTCATCCCTAAAGTGGGAGAATAAGCCTGCTCTGTCTGACTCTCAGGCTGTTGGGGGAAGTTAGCAGTGTCATTACGGTGGATTGGCGCCTTCTCTGGCCCACACACCATGTGGCCCAGATTCCTGTCTCCTCCTCACCATGGTCCTGTGAGGAGGGGGCGGGGCACTGTCATTGTTCCCTCCTCCCACGTGGTAGCTGAGGGGCAGAGAAGCTCAGTGAGCTCTGCCCAGGATCAGGGAGCGGGTGAGGGGTGCGGAGAGGAAGCGGCTCTGTCGGGCTCAGCCGGCCTGGCCTGCTTTTCTGAGGGTGGGCAGACACCACCTGTGCGCCATCCTCCATGAGAGAAATAGTTCTCATTGTTCAGGGGATGACCTTGAGGCTGAGTGAAGTGAGGTGACCTGCCCCAGCAAGGGGTACGTCCTGAGTTTGCAGTCAGCTCGGTCTGAAGTTCTTTGAAAGATCTGGAAAGGAGAACTGGTAAAGCCAGGGGATTCTACACCTGTCAGGTCTTAAGAAGCTAACAGTGGGTATTTTTAAAAGCCTAATGGAAATCACACAATAGGGTTGCCCTGACCTTTTTAATAGTTGCTTTTTGGCTGGCATTATGTCATCTCTATCAAGGGAGTGTTAGTCGTCATCTTGCATATAAGAATCTCTGCCTGAGTGTGGATAACACAGAAACAGTTCTGGGGTCCATACAGAAGAGATCATCCTACCCACAGGAAAGTATCGTGTGAGACCTTTCCCAACTCCGGGTTCACCTTCCTCAGTCTTCCTCCTCCCACGGTCACTCCGATGTCGGTGGGTCAGGCCCCCGGTGCCCTAGGACACACTGGGCACACAGCATCCTGCTCCAGAGCCTCTTTGTTAGAGGAGAGGTGGCACACGCTGCTCTTCTGCCTCTGAGAGCTCCTAACTCCATGCTAGTCTCCCGGGAGAGGAGGCTGGACATCCGTCTTTATTTTTCTGCCCCCTATCCAATGCCCACTCCTTCAATACGCCACCCACGATGGAGGCTGGAAGGCTGGGCTGGGGGCATGCTGGGCCTCGGCTCCACTGGTCAGATGCACATTGTGTCAGGTTTCCAAGGGTAGAGGCAGTGGCCTCAGGGCCTGTGGCTCCCGTGTCCAGTGTCCAGGTGGTGCTGCGACCTGTGGTATCCTCGTGGCCTATGGTGTGAGATGGGCTCCGGTCTTGCTCATTTCCTGAGTCTGGTCCTCCAGCTTTTCTGGGATCCTGGGACATGCCAGAGACCTTTGAGCAAACCCCTCAATTTACGTCAGCCAAAGTGTATTTCTGTTGCGTTTTAAATATATGAGTGTGTGTGAGTGTGTGTGTGAGTGTGTGTGTGTGTGTGTGTGTGTGTGTGTGTGTGTGTGTGTGTACTAGAGGCCCGGTGCATGGGGTTCGTGCACGGATGGGAGGCGTGGCCTGCGGGGATCGGCCAGCTGTGGGGGTGCTGCTCATCCCCATTAGCTGAGCGCCCGTGGACCAGCCCTCTGAGTGGCTGCTCCCTGGTCCAGCATCTTTCGTGGAGCTGGAGGACTTGCCTCTCCAGGGGACCTGCTCAGGTCCAGGTCCAGGGACAATAGCACCGAGAGGCAGTGGGGTAGGCCTCAGTCCCACAGCGGCCACAAACGTGCCTCCCAGCTGCTAGCCCTGCGATGATGCTGCGTGGCCTGAGGGCATCCAGAGGAGGCACAGGGAATGAGGAGGAGGAGCCTGGGGCAAGGAGCCCAGGTACCCACCCATAAGCTCGGGGTTTGCAGTGGGAGCAGCTGCTCATCCTGGTCAGCTAAGCAGCACTCCCACTGTGGTAGTACACTGACCAACCAAGGGGGCAGCTCTTGCATTGAGCGTCTGCCCCCTGGTGGTCAGTGCATGTCATAGAGACTGGTCAACTGGTCATTCTGGTTATTCCGCTGTTTGGTAGCTGGGTTTTTATTATATAGGATACACACACACACACACACACACACACACACACACGTGTGTATAAGTGTGTGTGTGCATTCTTTAAAAAAAAAAAAATATATATATATATATATATATATATATATATATATATTGATTTCAGAGAGGAAGAGAGATAGAAACATTAATGTTGAGAGAGTCATTGATCGGCAGCCTTATACATGCCCCCAATTGGGGATCAAGCCCGCAACCTGGGCATGTGCCCTTAACCGGAATCGAACCTGGGACCCTTCAGTCGGCAGTATGACGCTCTATCCACAGAGCCAAACCAGCCAGGGCTATATATTCTTTTCTAATTGATTTCAGAGAGGAGAGCGAGGGAGAGAAACATCAATGATGAGAGAGCCATTTGATTGGCTGCCTCTTGCATGCCCCCTACTGGGAATCAAACCCAGGCATGTGCCCTGACTGGGAATAAAACCATGACCTCCTGGTTCATAGGGTGACGTTCAACCACTGAGCCACATGGGCTGGGTGAGCACTGTTGCTTTTTAAAGCTAAGAGTCAGACTTGTAGAGAGCTGTTGTTCTATAATTCTCCTAGATTTTATTCCTCCCCAGGCCCCTGTCTGCACTGCTTCACCACCCGAGCACCCTCCCCGGGCCACAGAACTTACGAGAACCCTGAGCTGAGAGCCCTAGGTTAGGTGGGTGGCAGGACCACAGGCTTCGTCATCTCCGTTCATTGGCTGACCCAGATTCCACTCTGGAAGGCTGGCTTGGGTGCTAAAGGAACCAACGGGAGATGGGAGACGTTGGTGCCTCCGAGCCCTCTGCAGTGCCAGAGAGACTGTGCTGGCCTGAGGTCAGGCATTCGGGCGGGCGGGCAGCCACGGGCCTGAAGCCTGCAGGTTGTCTGCGGTCTGATCCTGGAGCTCGGCCGGGGAGCCTGGAATCTAGCACCGCAGAGTAAGCAGGTAGAGCCTTGGAAAGGAGAAATGTGGCCCCCTCTCCTGGGAGTGGAGGCAGCGAGGTAAGTGCTTTTGCAGTGATGGTGTTTCTGTGGAACCCAGCCGCCCGAGGGGCTGAGAGGCACTATCTCAGCACAACCGTGACCCGTTCACGGCACAGGTGGGGTGGCGGTGTTACCCTGGTGTATCCAGCTCCCCGCCTGCCCACACTTAGGGGGGCGGATGTCAACCCTCTGCTGTTCTTAACTCCTTATGAGCTGCAGATAGTTTCCCTAGCTTAGCATTTGCCTTTACTTTTACGATTTCTCATTCCTTTCGTTCCATTCGTTCTTGACCACTGTTCTCTCTGCAGCAGGTCCTGTGCCTTGGCCCGTGGAGTGTGGCCCTTGCTTCCGAGCCCTCTCTGGACCCGCCCTCCTCGCACCCCTGGGAAAGATGCGGCAGCTCAAGGGGAAGCCCAAGAAGGAGACGTCCAAGGACAAGAAGGAGCGGAAGCAGGCCATGCAGGAGGCCCGGCAGCAGATCACCACGGTGGTGCTGCCCACGCTGGCCGTGGTGGTGCTGCTGATTGTGGTGTTCGTGTACGTGGCCACGCGCCCCACCGTCACCGAGTGAGCCCGGCGGTGGCGGGGAAGCCGCGGAGACACGGCCTGCGTCCTCAGAGATTTTCCCGAAGCTGAGCTCCGAGCACGGGCACCTACCTACCTGTCTTCTCTGCTTTTTGACTTGATTAAAGTTTTTTCCACTTTTCTTGGGAGGGAATAAGGGAGCATTTTATCCAGTGAATGTGCCATACACCTTATGGTCCACTTCATGTGCCTTTCAGACTTCGAAGCGGGGTGTGTGTGTGTGTGTGTGTGTGTGTGTGTGTGTGTTTTCTCTCCTAAAACCCATGTGCAGCCCCCCCTGGTGAGAGGAGGGGCGTCGGGATCACGAATGCATAGGAATCAGTGCTCACACCCCCCCCCCCCAATTGTGTCAAACATGACTCTTTTCCCACCTGTGTCCATGATTTCCAAAGGGACTGTATTTCTTCTCTGTGCTTAATGTGATTTTAAAGATGTCGACTCAAAAGTGAAATATTTATTTTTCGAATAAAGGAGATGATAGCCTTTAACCACTGGGTGTGTATCTGGTTTTGCTAGCGGCGCTGTCTGTCCCCGGGACAGGGATCCCTCTTAGAACCTCGGGCGGATCCCTGCACTTTCTCTCCTACCACCAACCCCCCCCCCCCCCCCCCCCCGCTGTGAATCACTTTGTGCTTTTTGACCAGATCATTTTAAGACGGAGAGGATCTGGAGAGGGCAGCCAGGGTGTGCTAATTGGTCTGTCTCAGCAAAATAAGAGTTCTAATTGGAGCGGTGCTTTTTATAGCATGCAGCAAACAGCGAGGAAGACGTGGGCCTGGAGGGGAAGGTCAGGCTGGTTCTGCTCCTGCTGAAAGGATGCACATTGTTGGCTGGGCTGCTGAGTGTCTGATGCAGGTTGGCCATGCTGGCAGGGGGGCCGGGGCGGGGGGGGGGGGGGGGGGGGGGACCTGTTCTAATCTCGGAGGCTGCACGATGCGCTCACGGATGGCCAGGCTGTTCCTGAGAACCTGGGGCCTCTCCGAGTGAGTCTCAGGAAGACAAAGCAGCTGTTGAAAGGACGGATTCCCGCTGATGCTCGGAGATCCTGGGCCTGGCAGGGCTGACGGGGCTCCTGGGCCTCCCAGTGGGAGACTCCGTGCCACTCTGCCCTCAAGTGCCCGTGGCCCTGGAATGAGAATTACTGAAATGATTGTCACACGCAGAGGCTGGTCGCATAATGTTCCTCTTAGGCTCCTATTTCCATCCCCTTTATGCGGTTCTCAGGAGCCTCAGGGCTTGTTTCATTCAGCAACATACACAGAAACAGCATACTGCGGTATCCGGCAGGGACCCACTGACCTGCTTCCGCAAACCCCACCCTGGGCCACTCCTGCTCATCCATCTGGATGGCCTCACACCCCCAGACACTCAGGTGCACGCCACGTGGGATTATTTTGCAGCAAAACAGGAGATGGGACTTAAACCCAGCCGGTCTGGTTTCAGAGTTCATGCTCTTCAGCATGAAGATCTACTACCTCTTTGTAACTGACTTCCTCCACTTCACTCTCCCAGTCGACAGGAATCTTTCCTGCCCAGGTGTGAGCGAACTCTGTTGTTTGGGGATTATGTATTCCCAAATTTTCCTGGGTTTGTCATGGGCCCACCCCCTCTGGCGGATGGACGATTCCAGGCTTGACTGTCAGCAAGCACACTCCTGATGTCACCCTGACTCTGTGCACACACCCATCTTCCCCTCGGTCCAGGCCCTTCCCCCAGGGATCTGCAGGGAATGGACCAGTGGCTCCCTGAGGAGTGTGAAATGGCAGCTTCCTGGTGAAGCTGCCCAAATTACATGCCTTTCCTGTTATTAATAACTAGCTAATTACAGTGGTATCAACATCACGCCTAGTGCATTTTAGGTGCTCAATAGCCATTCCCTCCCTTCTTGTCTGTGTGTTCGGCTCACAGAACATGCATCCAGGCCTGCCTCCCAAGGCTTTACCTACCAGGCTCACACCACACCACACCACACACACACACCACACCACACTACACCACACCACACCACACCACACCACACCACACCACACCACACCACACCACACCACACCACACATTGTATAATATAGACCCTTTAGGTGCCTCTGGGTCTTATTTTCACTTCCTGTTTTCCCTTCATTGTCCATCAGGAGGCCTAGGGGATTTGAACTGGATTTTCAGAAGGCAATTAATGGATGGGCTTGGTGAAAGCAGGCTGAAAATGGACGTTTCAAAGGAATACAACTTGGACATGAGCCACCTCCTGACAGGGACAAATGCCGATTCACTGTGGTCTTGCTGGGGGCAGTGTAACAGTTCTCAGGGTAAACAGTAGTCCCATGTGGATGGGCCGTAATTTTTTGTTTGAGACATTAGCCTTCAAATTGGTCCCAGTTATTCAGTGGCTTCAAGCAAAACTGAATAATTTACTAGCAGTTTCACAGGAAGTCATGCTGGGTTCTGCTGTAGGATACGGGGCTCTTGGCTTTCAGAGCCCTCATTACGGAGCCTAACGTTTCTTGAAGAACAAATTCCAAAAGAGGAATCAGGTTAGAAACAGGAATAGAAACCATTGTCATTCATGTAAAAGGCGCCACCTGATGTGTTTGTGTATGTGCTGATTCTGAAGCTAGCAGCTTAATTTCTACCCTTGCAGTTCAAAGGCAAGAGCAACACACACGCCCAGCATTTTTTCCTGCATCCCTCCTGAAGCAGCAGGAAGGAACCTGCAGCCAGACTCACCTGTAAACTGAGATGATAACATCTGCCTCGGGTTTGTTAGAAGGATTAAAGAGATGACTGTCCATCTCTTTTCCTCAAAACTCACTACAGGAAGAAAAAGAAGGAAATCTCTTGAAATTGTGGCTTTTAGATGTCTTTATGGAAGTCTGCCATCATATGCATGTGTATGCATGTGACACACACACACACACACACACACACACACACATCTTATAGCTCTGTATTGAACATGTCCCATGTGTTCTGACACCTGAAGGTGTGTCTCTTACTTTGAATGCAATTTATTTTTTAGGAACCGTGTCTAATTCTGCTGTGTACAATATTTATCACAGACTTGCTAAGGATATAAAGTGAGATACAGAATCTTAGGATCAGGGAGGCATGAGTCGCTTCCTCTCGGTCCTTCCAGAATGTGTGTACTAGAGCTGCATAAGGGTTTGCTCATCTGGATTCCTGTCCTGCTCTCCCCCATGCTTCAGAGTAAGTTTTGCCTCCCTCTATCAGGCCTGATTTTTTTTTTTTTTTTGTGGTTCTTTTTGTTCTTCAATAGCCAGTCTGTCCTTGATTACGAGTATTCTGAGTATTTTCTCATCATTCTGCAAGCATAAGTCTCTGACGTTGGTATATTTCAGTGGGGTCATCTGTATTATCCCCCTGCCTGCCAGTTCTGTGGAAAGGAGCCAGTCTTTTTAAAAAGCAATTAATCCCTTGAGCTATTGGGTAATATAGCAAGGAATGGAGAGCAGAATGAGCATGTGGATGCTCAGGCATGCCATGATGAAGGCTCGCTCCTTTGTCGTTCCTTTCCCTGTGGTTATATGAAGGTTGTCTGTCTTGAGGAATCCCTTTTGCCCCCCACAGCCCCAGCACTGAAACTTTCCCCCTGGCCATCGTCATGCTCCTGATTGTGAAGAATACTCCTTTTTGATACAAGGCACAGCTGGCCACACACTGAACACCTCATCTCTTTCAGAATGCATATTAAGCCTTTGGGGATTAGGCCTAACTCCCAGGCATAACTCATTTGGACTGGAATAAATTAACTACCACTGTGAAATTCTTTTGCAGTCTCTCTACCTTGAAACTCCTCTACCTCTAGCTGCACTACTAGCTCAGTGGTGGGTCTGCCCATCTGTCATCCACCCAGATTCGCCAGAGCCATTGAAAAGATGGGTTGGGTTTTAAAAGATATAGCAATATACACTGAGTGGCCAGATTATTATGACCACCTGATGTTTGTAGGCAAATTAGCTGTACACTGCATCCTATGGGATATGGAAACCGAAGGCCTGTTCGATCACCTTTGCTGTCTGCAGTTACCAAGATAAAACGTCTCCAATTCGCACAGGAACACAAGGATTGGACAGTCGAGCATTGGGAAAAAGTCATGTGGTCTGATGAATCACGTTTCCAGATGCATTGTGAAGATGGCAGAGTGAGAATTTTGTGGAAACAGCATGAAACCATGCACCTCACATGCATTGAGTACAGCCCTTCAAGCTGGTGGGGGCAGTATTATGGTTTGGAGCGTTTTCCTGGCATGATTTGGGCCCTTTAATTCGTGTGGAACAATGTCTGAATAGCACAACATACCGAAGTATCATTGCTGATCAAGTTCATCCTGTCATGTTGACGGCATATCCCAATGGAGATGACTTCTTCCAACAAGACAATGTGCCATGCCATGGTGCTCATATTGTACAGGAGTGGTTTCAAGAACATGAGGGAGACTTTACCTTGCTTAGGTGGCCCCACAATCACCAGCTCTCAATCCAGTTGAGCATTTGTGGGGCAAAGTTAGAGCCATCAGGTAGCTGGTTGCACAACCATCAAATCTCACAGAACTTGACAGTGCTATTATTCATCAGTCATGGTGTCAGATTCAGCTCATGAATTGGAAGTGAATAAAAGATACATCTTTAGAAAACCCAAACATCATCAAAGAGATCTGACTCATAAATGTCTACTTATGTCCCTAAAAATGTTTCCTTTAAGCTCTAGAAATATCACAAAAATTATTTAATGTTTGTCTACTTCCTCTAAATTATGAGCTTTATGAGATGGGAAGGGACCTTGTCTGTCTCATTAACCCTATTTTCCCAGGGCTAATAGGTGACCAATAAATATTTTTGAATAAGTGAAAGAACACATTCATAAAAGAAAAAGAAAAATGGCCAGTAAACCCATGATCAGGAAAAAAGCACAACTTTATAAACAGAGGTATTCAATAGAATACCATTTTACCTATCACACTGGCAAAACTTT